AATCTCCTCCTCTTCTTCCTCCTCTTCTCCTCCTCCTCCTCCTCCTCCTCCTCCTCCTTCCTCCTCCTCCTCCTCCTTCCTCCCTCCTCCTCCTCCTCCTCCTCTCCTCTTCCTCGTCTACCCTCTCCTCCTCCTCCTCCTCCTCCTCCTCCTCCTCCTCCTCCTCCTCCTCCTCCTCCTCCTCTCCTCCCCTCCCCTCCTCCTCCTCCCCTCCTCCTCCTCCTCCTCCTCCTCCTCCTCCTCCTCCTCCTCCTCCTCCTCCTCCTCCTCCTCCTCCTCCTCCTCCTCCTCCTCCTCCTCTCCCACCTCCTCCTCCTCCTCCTCCTCCTCCTCCCCCTCCTCCTCCTCCTCCTCCCTCCTCCTCCTCCTCCTCCTCCCTCCCTCCTCCTCCTCCTCCTCCTCCTCCTCCTCCTCGCCTCCTCCTCTCCTCCTCCTCCTCCTCCTCCTCCTCCTCCTCCTCCTCCTCCTCCCTCCTCCTCCTCCTCCTCCTCCTCCTCCTCCTCCTCCTCCTCCTCCTCCTCCTCCTCCTCCTCCTCCTCTCCTCCTCCTCCTCCTCCTCCTCCTCCTCCCCGTGCCCGGGGGGCATTGCGGCACCGGGGGCCCGCGCAAGGGCGACCCGCACCGAGAGGAGCGCCGCCCCGCGGGGCCGCGGGCTCGAGGAGAGCTCCGCGGCCCCGCGCCGGGAGGCAGGCAGCCAACAGGCAGGAAGGGGCCCAAGGACACGCAAAGAAATGCACACACACACAGATCCCAGGATACCTCCATATGTTCGTGCATCTTCCCACTCCCCCCCCCCACACACTTCCCAGATTGTCCCATATTCTCCTGGAAATCGACGATTGGCTTTGTCTGTGTTTTCCCCCTCCTGGAAAACAACGGGGCGCCTCGGAGAACCCGGGGCGCGTGGCGCTCGCGCAGGAGGGACTCACCGAATCTGAAGCCCGATGTCCATTCGAAAGGCTGCAGAGATCTGGCCTTCTTCTCCTCCTCTCTCCTCCTCCTCCTCCTCCTCCGTCCTCCCTCCTCCTCCTACACCTCCTCCTCCTCCTCCTCCTCCTCTCCTCCAAACCTCCTACCCTCCCTCCTCCTCTCCTCCACCTCCTCGCTCCCGGAATCTCTCTGCGGCGGGCGGCCTGTCCTGGGCGTCCTGCGGTCTTCCTGAAAGCTCTCTGGGTCCTCCTGGGGCTCCCAGGGTCCCATGGGGGATAATGTAACATGTGGTCTTCTGGCCCCCCGGGCTGGACCACCTCTTGTGCGCAGCATCTGAGAGCTCAGATATGCGAAGAAAGTCCTCGTGCGAAACAGGCCAGACCACCTTGCGCACGGCATCTCAGAGCTCAGAGTTGCGAGGATGTCTCAGGCATGGGCCGGCCCACCTCGCGCAGGGCATCTCGGAGCCCAGAGTTGCGAGGATGTCTCCAGCGTAACGGGCTGGACCACCTCGCGCGCGGCATTTCGGACCCCAGAGTTGCGACGATGTCTGGGGCGAAATGTGCTGCGAGGAAGTCTCAGGCGAAACGGGCCGGACCACCTCGAGCGCGGCGTCTCAGAGCTCCGAGTTGCGGAGGCCTCCTGGTGCCTCCTGAGGCCTCCTGGGGACCTCCTGGGGCTTCCTCCTGGGCCTCCTGTGGCCTCCTGGACCCCACCCGGGGCTTCCTGAAGCCTCTTGGGGCTCCCAGAGGGGGTGTGGCCGCCGGGGCGCCCCCCAAAATGGCGGGGAGCGGGGCACAAGAGCAGGAAAAATCAACGAATCGGCACCGGATGTGTATTAACTTGACACGTTCTGATAGGGGGCCTCCTGGGGCCTCCTGGGAGCCTCCTGGGAATCTCCTGGGGAACTCTGGGGCCTGTCCTGGGCGTCCTGCGGCCTCCTGGAGCTCTCTGGGGCCTCCTGGGGCTCCCAGGGGGGATATGTAACATGTGGTCTTCTGGGCCCCCAGGCTGGACCACCTCTTGCGCGGCATCTGGGAGCTCATAGTTGCGAGAATGTCTTGTGCGAAACAGGCCAGACCACCTTGCGCACGGCGTCTCAGAGCTCAGAATTGCGAGGATGTCTCAGGCGAGATGGGCCGGCCCACCTCGCGCAAGGCATCTCGGAGCCCAGAGTTGCGAGGATGTCTCAGGCGAAACGGGCTGGACCATCTCGCGCGGCATCTCGGACCCCAGAGTTGCGACGATGTCTGGGGCGAAACGTGCTGCGAGGAAGTCTCAGGCGAAACGGGCCGGACCACCTCGAGCGCGGCGTCTCAGAGCTCCGAGTTGCGGGGGCCTCCTGGTGCCTCCTGAGGCCTCCTGGGGACCTCCTGGGGCTTCCTCCTGGGCCTCCTGTGGCCTCCTGGACCCCACCTGGGGCTTCCTGAAGCCTCTTGGGGCTCCCAGGGGGATATCTAACATGTTGCCGCTTGGGCCCCCCAAAATGAGGGGGGGCACAAGAGCAGGAAAAATCAACGAATCGACACCGGATGTGTATTAACTTGACACGTTCTGATAGGGGGCCTCCTGGGGCCTCCTGGGAGCCTCCCGGGAATCTCCTGCGGACCCCTGGGGCCTGTCCTGGGCGTCCTGCGGCCATCCTGAGCTCTCTGGTGCCTCCTGGGGCTCCCAGGGGGGATATGTAACATGTGGTCTTCTGGGCCCCCAGGCTGGACCACCTCTTGCGCAGCATCTGGGAGCTCAGAGTTGCGAGAATGTCTTGTGCGAAACAGGCCGGACCACCTTGCGCACGGCATTTCAGAGCTCAGAGTTGCAAGGATGTCTCAGGCGAGACGGGCCGGAGTCTCGGGCGAAACGTGCTGCGAGGAAGTCTCCGGCGAAACGGGCCGGACCACCTCGAACGCGGCGTCTCAGAGCTCCGAGTTGCAGGGGCGTCCTGGTGCCTCCTGGGGCCTCCTGGGGACCTCCTGGGGCTTCCTCATGGGCCTCCTGTGGCCTCCTGAACTCCACCTGGGGTTTCCTGAAGCCTCTTGGGGCTCCCAGGGGGGATATCTAACCTGTGGCCGCTTGGGCCCTTCAAAATGGAGGGGGGGCACTTGACAAGAGCAGGAAAAATCAACGAATCGACACGGATGTGTATTAACTTGACACGTTCTGATAGGGGGCCTCCTGGGGCCTCCTGGGAGCCTCCTGGGAATCTCCTGGGGAACTCTGGGGCCTGTCCTGGGCGTCCTGCGGCCTCCTGGAGCTCTCTGGGGCCTCCTGGGGCTCCCAGGGTCCCAAGGAGGATATGTAACATGTGGTTTTCTGGGCCCCCAGGCTGGACCACCTCTTGCGCGGCATCTGGGAGCTCAGAGTTGCGAGAATGTCTTGTGCGAAACAGGCCAGACCACCTTGCGCACGGCATCTCAGAGCTCAGAGTTGCGAGGATGTCTCAGGCGAGACGGGCCGGACCACCTCGCGCAGGGCATCTCATAGCTCAGAAGTTCGAGGATGTCTCAGGCGGGCTCCCAGGGTCCCAGGAAGGATATGTAACATGTGGTCTTCAACATGTGGTCTTCTGGGCCCCCAGGCTGGACCACCTCTTGCGCGGTATCTGGGAGCTCAGAGTTGCGAGAATGTCTCGTGCGAAACAAGCCGGATCAGCTTGCGCACGGCATCTCAGAGCTCAGAGTTGCGAGGATGTCTCAGGCGAGACGGGCCGGACCACCTCGCGCAGTGCATCTCAAAGCTCATAAGTTCGAGGATGTCTCCGGCGAAACGGGCTGGACCACCTCTCGCGCGGCATCTCCGAGGTCAGAGTTTCGAGGATGTCTCATGCGAAACGGGCCGGACCACCTCGCGCGCGGCATCTGGGAGCTCAGAGTTGCGAGGATGTCTCAGGCGAAACGGCCCGGACCACCTCTCGCGCGGCATCTGGGAGCTCAGAGTTTGAAGGATGTCTCAAGCGAAACGGGCCGGACCACCTCTCGCGCGGCCTCTCAGAGCTCAGATTTAGCAGGATGTCTCAGGCGAAACGCTCAATCCCGGACAACTCAGAAACGAGAGTTGTGAGGATGTCTCAGGCGAAACGGGCCGGACCACCACATTTGTTTGAGGATGTCTCTGCTTAGCTTTCCCTCGGCCGGAGTTAGCTTCTATCACAACAGCACCCCGTTCAGCAAGCTGTTTGGGGAAAAAAATTGTGTGAGGATGTCTCTGCTCCGCCTTCCCTCGGCCGGAGCTAGTTTCTATCACAACAGCACCCCGTTCAGCAAGCTGTTTGGGGAAAACGTTTGAAAGCAGCACCCACGCAGCCACTCTTTTGGGCATCATTCGCGTGATCGCTCCTTTGGGTGGGAATGAATGTCAGCAGCAGGAATTCACCGGCGAAGCCACAGACCTCCTTCGCCAGCGGGAACCCAACTGTGTCAGCAAGGAAATCTAGCAGTCGGACCGAAGCCAGGAACACACATCTCTCATCAACACGAAATTTTTACATGTTTTGAACCCCGAACGGCCTCGATCTCATGCCTCGGTCCGGCTGTGTTGATTAACCTCGCAGGCGCGCGCAGAACACGCATGCGGAACGTCCAAGAAGCGCATCGCACGGGAAGTGCGCGGCGAGGATCGCAGTTACTTGACATCCTCGCGTCGCGCAAAATAAGAGTAGACGAAGAACAACTATCACCGTAAACAGAAACTTTCGGCGCCCCACGCAGATCTCTTGGATCTGCGCTGACCCCCCTCCCTGGCGCGCGGAGCGCGCCAGGGAGGTCCTCGGAGGCGCCGCCGAAGGGGCCCCTGGCGCGGATCCCAGACATGCCACGAGCGCCGAGGAAAAGAGGTCACGAAGGCTGGACCAGCTCGCTCGGGGCGCCGGGGGGAAACCGAATAGGAAGAGCCTCCTCCTCCTCCTCCTCCTCCTCCTCCTCCTCCTCCTCCTCCTCCTCCTCCTCCTCCCTCCATAACAGTGGAGACCCTCCTCCTCCACCTCCTCCTCATCCTCCTCATCCTTTCCTCCCCTCCTCCTCCCTCCTCCGTCCTCCTCCGCCACCTCTCCTCCTCCTCCTCCTCCACCCCTCCCCCTTCCGACTTATGGTGGTGGTGGCGGTGGAAAACAAGCCCATCAGCCTCCCCTGGCCCCGCAGGCTCGGCGCGCGGGCGTGGCAGGGCGGGTACCTCAGCCCCGTCCTGAGGCCAGAGGCGGGTCGACCGCGCACCAGGTCAGGCCGATGCACATGCCGCCACCGCCAGATCAGAAATGGCGTCTGGTGCAGGGGCCGCGGATTCAGCATGGGAAGGAGAATGGTGGGGAACGGGGGATAGAGACGAGGTGAGGGCGAGGTGGATGAGCGCGGAGAAAGGGACACAGATGGGATACCTGCACGTCAACCTGCTTCGTACGTCTCGTCGCTCGCCCTCCTGATCACTTTGCCCTTGACGCGCGTGTGTCGTCGGCCGCTCCGCGGGCCGTCTCACTCAGCACCTCGTCCTCTCGTCCTCCTTGGCCTGCTCCGAAAACATGAAGACCTCGGGCCCCTTGGGGCAGCCGTCGCTGCTGGGGCAGCCACCCCCCGCGGGCTTCGCCGATCCTGGAGTCGGCACCCAGCGCGCGTGCTGCGAGGGACTCGGACCGCATCCAAGCGCCTCCTCCATTTGCTCCAGCGTCGCCGACGCCACAGTCGTGCGGAGCATGTCTACCAGGTGGGCGATCCTGGTGTTCAGCGTCCTGACGTCCTGCATCACAGTGTACATGTCTATACTGCGGGCACCGCCCTTCAGCCGCAGGCAGCCCTGCAGGAACTCGTCCAGGCTCACCTCCCCCGATGAATCCCTGTCCAGGTGGAAGAACAACTGCTCGGCATCGTAAGGCTCCAGACCCAGCGCCTGGAAGTAGGACTGCACGCGGGCGTTCTCAAGACATTCCCGGAGCACCTCCAGGCTGATACCGCCAGTTCCCTCCGAGTCCAAAGATTCGAACAGAATCTTCATCTCCAGGCACCACGTGTGCTTCTGATGTATCTGCTTCTCGACCAGAAACTCTCTCTGCGAAAGCATTGTCTGCACGGCTTCGTTCACGAAAACGCCAGTGATAATATTGAGCACGGCCACAAGAATAAAGGCAGTGTAGAAGAAGAACAGCCCCGTCATCACTGGGTTGTATGCCAATGCTTTGGTGAGGGTGTACCAGCTGATCCCATTTAAACTGGTATGGAACAAGCTGGACAAGGTCACGAAGAGGTCCCCGAAATGCTCAACGAGCGAAGGATCTGGTGGCGACGACGCGTCCTTTAGCTGAGTCAAGTGGTTCTCGACGTCTTGGGTGAACATTATGGCAAATCCGTACATGATGACCGCCAACATGCACAGCGCCCACGCGAGGGACTTAAAGCAGTCCAGAATCATCAGCGCCAAGAGCCTCAGCTCGTCGAACATGCGGAACATGCGGAGCACCCTCGCGATGCGCAACATCTTCAACATCTTCATGCGCTGCGCGACGGATCCGGTCTCTGAGCTGTAGACGTACAGCACGACGACGTCCACACCAGAGAGCACCACCAGCAGCGTGTCGAACAGATTCCAACGCCAGGCCGAGGAGAACAAAAATTTCCGACGATCGGCATAGATTCGCAATAGCAGCTCCACGAAGAAAAACGCACTGCAAAACAGACCAGCAACCTCGTACTCCTGCTTGACTGCTCCCGCATGGCGTGCGCTGTACTGCGTGCTTAAGCCGATGAAGATGGCGTTGGTGCAAATCATGAGCCCGCAAAGGAAATCAAACGACCAATGGTGAATGATCTGCCTCATCGTAAGAACACCGTTCTTTCTGTAGCTTTCCCAATTCTCCCGCATCAACTTTGCACGCTGATCATAAAACTCCTGCCTATGGCGCAAACGCCGCTGAGCTGGGGTCTCGAACACGGCCATCTCGTCTTCGAATTTTCGCGACATCGGGGTGGAAAGGTTCGTCGATGCCGAGTCTCGCAGTCGCAACACCGAGAAATACCCCGGGGGGTACTCACTCGTTGTGCTTGTCTTCATCGTGCCCGTCTTTCCTCGCTGGAAGAAGGCCCAGGCGCGCGACGAACGGGCCTTAGGATTCTCGGTGCGCTCGGAGTCAGCGCTGGTCACCGGGTCAGGTGTGAAAAGGAAGTCCTGCTTGGACTTCATGCTGGATTTCGCGGTCCCCACCGTGCTGCGCAGCGTGCCTAAGCTGTGCGTCGGTTCAACGTCCTTCGGCGGGAAGTCAACCCTGCGCTGCGGCGGGATAGCCCTCTGGAAGAAATCGGTGCTGCTGCCCCTGTGGGGGGCGTGGCCTTCCTGCCGCGGATCGTCCTCCTGCTTGCCTTGCCCGAGGCCACTGCCCGCGGGCTCGCGGCCCTTGTCCACGGCAGCCCCGTGCGCCTGGTTCGGATTCATGTTCGTATCGTAATCTCCGAGCTCCCCAGCTGAGTCGCAGCTGCTGAAGCCATCCGAGACGAATCCCTGCCCCACGAGCTCTGGAGGCTCCAAAGTCATGAACTTTTTGCCGTCGGCCAACGTGGTGTGCACCTTCAGCGGCGCGCCGTCCAGACCGCTGACCTCTACGTCCACACGT